TCCCTCTCCCTCTCCAACCAGACCAAGCCTCAATGAGACTTTTGACTACCTTCCTCCTCATTACTGGCGCCAAGTTGCTAACCCGTCTGCTTCCAAAAGGAAGACCGTGAAAATTACTCTCCCTGCGGAAGAGAGTTTAGGGACCAGAATGGGTATTTCCCTTAAATGTAAGCTACATATGTTTTTTACACCATCCTTGAAATCATGAAATAGGTCAGTGCATCCAGTTTTTTGATGTTACTTTTGTGTCAAAAAGTAGGGGGACCTATGTGAACTATGTTTTGTACATATGGAATAACTTCCTATTTTCTTCTTCTTGCTTTCCATAGCACGCGTTTTTTTTCTTATACTAGTTTAACCTTAGTTTCCTGTTCAAAACATATGCAGAACAGACTAAACATAACGAAAACTGTTCGCAAGTTTTCAATTGATCGGAATTTAGTACCTACTGGATCTGAGTTCCATGCTGGACCTATACCCACTGTCAACAAACACGGAGATGATGTTGAAGAATACCATGGTGATGGTTCAGTTGCCTTGTCCTCTCGCAATTTTGATAGCTATTCTCACCAGTAAGTATTCAAGTATCTTGTGTAATAGTGAAACCTATTGTCAAAGATATTTTACGCACCAGCATCTAACTGCTAGACATTCATGTGGATATTTAATTATTTAATTTATACTCCTTGTTTCTCTATAGGCTATAAGTTCTAATTACTTTCGCCAGGTTCAGTGTTGTATGCCAATTATATTCTGTTCTTGATTTTTATTTAGCATTTAGCTCTGTCCTATTCTTTGCCGGAGTTCCCTTATTGTTGAGGTTGATATTTATCATAAATTATATATATTCCTTTCCAGGTACCCTGTTTTGGTTGTCAACTTTTATGCCCCCTGGTGTTATTGGAGCAATCGTCTGGTTAGATTTTTTTTCTTTGTGTTCCCTTTCACTTAGTGTATATGGAGAAGTTAAATTGGTTCTGATCAATCAATAATCCTTCAGAAACCTTCATGGGAAAAGGCTGCGCAAATAATAAGGGAGAGGTATATGCTTTTGCTCTTTTTTGTCCCGAACGTGGCTTGGGGATTCATGATTTTATGCTTTAGATTACCATCCTGATTTTATTTGTTATATTCAGATATGACCCTGAAATGGATGGCAGAATTCTTCTCGGGAAAGTTGACTGCACTGAGGAAGTTGAACTGTGTAAGAGGTATGTACTAATTAATTATCAAATTAGAGATCGATAAACGAATAAGTGGGGTTGATTATATACTTTTAATTCAATGCGTTTTCTCTTTCGTCCAAAATTGTACTTTCTTCTTATTTTAACCTTTCTATTTATGTATTAATAGACTGACATCACATGAATATGCTACTCTCTCTGTAAAGAAATATAGGAGTGTTAAACACTTATATTGTTGTAATAGACTGACATCACATGAATCCAAAATCCTCGTTTGTCTTCTACCATGAAATTTGATTAATTTTGTTGTAAATATCTGTTGAAGTTATATGATGATCCCACGGTCTTGTCATGATTTAGTGTGTCCTTGCATGCTGCTCTTGCGGGTGCTATTCCTTCCTTCTGGAACTATTTGATTAAGAATGAGTTTGAAGCACCCGCAAAAAAAGAAAAAGAAAAAAGAATGAGCTTGAAGCATTTCCCTATCTTCCATATTGCATACTGAATAAACAGTGGCAGGATTGTCTATTTTCATTCCCATTGGCTTTCTGTTTGGCACCAGTAAAGTAACTAAAATATTTC